ACAATAACCTCACCAACATCAACAATCACCATCAACTTTAACCATTATACAAATCAGTTGACAGCTTCATCTCAAACTATCCTCTTTCACAATATATAAACTGCCAAGCTGAGCTTGGTGGTCTTGTTGTTATGATAGCATAGAAGGACAGAGCTTGCACCTCCACCATCCCCTTCTCCATTCAGAAAAAGGGTTTCACAACCACTTTTGAGTCTTACACCGGCTGGAAGGGTTTCCTTCCAGCCGGCAAGCATGTACCTTGCCTTCTGTAAGGGTTTCCTTCCAGCCAGAGAAGTACTTTCCTTCTGGAAGGGTTTCCTTCCTGCCGGCAAACGTGTACCTCATCCACTGGATGCGTTTCCTTCCAGTCAACAAGGTACAAGTACCTTGTCAACCGGAATGCCTGCCTTCCAGCTGGCAAGGTACATGTACCTTGCCTGCGGGAAGGAGCTCGCTGGCTGGAAGGAAACCATTCCAGCCGGCCCCTTTCATCCTCTTGGCACCGGGTATCCCTGGAGATACCTGGATATCCGCCAGGATTTGGGGGGAAAGCAACCATCCATACCCCCTGGCGGGTATCTGTTGGTGCTGGTAGGTATGTGCCAGCGGATAGTGGGTATCAGTAACAGATACCCCATGGCCATCTCTAATTTTAGTGGCACTTGAGATTTATTTGGTACCCTCTGCTATAGTGTAACGGTTGGAGTGTTGATCTTGATCAATAATCCCCAAAAGCATCTGTGCAACACCAGTTCAATTCCCACCTCACACATCTAGTCAAACCATCACAATTTCAATGAAACCCCACAAAATCATCTTTGGGATTTTCATGGCCTTTATAATCCCAAAACCCACTGCGGGTGGTGTTGCATGTATGGGCAAGGTTATGGACAGGACTTGTGGAAGATATGCTGGCCGGATTATGTTACCAAAAGCTGAACAAATTGGGGATTGTGGGGACCCCAGTGGCTGTCTGATACAACGCACAAAGAGCTACTACATATGTGGTGAATGCAATTCTATAACTGTCAAAAACAAAAGTGTGAGGGGTGGTGAATATGCAACATGTGGTCACGAAAATATGAAGTTATACTTCCAAGGGACCGTGCTTCCATCTCAAGGGACATCTGAAACAGCCTCCTATCAAGAAGCTACACCCTCAACAGCCCCTGATGACATTCTGTTCTAGGAATTCCTCAATCCAAAATAAACACACATTAGCTTCTCAAAGCCGCACAAAAAATCTTTTGGATTGTGAAGCAAAATAATTGGATTCAAACCAATGAAAATAATATATGACCATTGGCAATGGTGAACAACATTCCACAAAATCATTACCAGAATTCAGTTTCCCTTCCTACGTCTCTCAAACATCAAGCTTACATGTTCATGAGAGAATGGAAAGCCAAAAAATAATCAAGAACCCACTCAATTTTACATTCACATGAACAATTCAAAAAGCTGATGGAAAATGATGAAGACTTGGATCACAATGTAATCCCTATCTATTGATCCAGACCTGAAACTTATAGTGACAATTGAGTCCCAAATCACTGAACCAATAGCTTCATACAAAAACACCACAATCATCATGTTAGATTTGACCTACTACTGCTACAATTCAGGTACAGTTTTAAGAGACCAGTTCACTTTTTTTAGAATTATATATCTCCCAATTGTCTATATTAATGTCCCTTGCTGGAAGAGTATTTCCAAAAAAAAAGATATATAAAAGAAGTATCCAAAAACAAAAAAGGCATCATAGTTTTTTGCCATCACCTGCCAGGCAAGGAAATGTATCATGAAATTTTCAAGAGATTCATTTGGGGCTTGACGAGGTTGATCCCAGGAACGGAAAACAGATTGTTTGCTGATTGCCAAGGAATTCTCCTTTGTAATCCAAGCCTTAAAACTAGGCCAGTCTTGAGGAACAGTGGCCTCAGCGTTTGCTTTCTTCAATTCCTCCAGTGCTTGGTCGCGGAGCATATTTTTGGATTACTTGCAGTTGTACTTGGGTCAAGCAAGAAGCTGATCCGCCGAGACATCTTCTACACTGGATCAAATCCCACATCCCCAATTTCTTGAGCCTTTCTCTCAGCCAATCTTAAATCTCAAGATCAATCTCAGCTCAAGAAGTTGTTCAACATGAAACAAAATCCGATGACTAGATAAACTAGACGATTATTGAGAGTATCAAGCCAAAGCTATTGGCATCTAGTGCTCTTATTGATTTTTTCGAGCGTTAGTAAGCTGTTGGTTGGATGACGTGACCGATCGTATATATTGCAAGAGAGTAAGTACAAAGCAGACGTTGGAAGCTGATCATCATGGATGCTCTGGGAATAGAGGCCTTGACACCCTGGCGGGTATACGGCTTCGGACGGTGTCCCTTTTTTTCATGCGATGATCGATGATCCCAGCAGGAGTCCTCTTTTAGAGTTTGGCAGCAACCGCTTCGATCTCGACCAAGACGTCCAACGGAAGTCGAGCGACCTGTCACATACAAGGCGACCACCAAAACAAAATCAACACTTGTATCTTTGCAGGAGTCTCACAGCAAAAAAAAAAGAAAAAAGGATGGGAACTCACCTCAACACAACTTCGAGCAGGCTTATGGTCCTTGAAAAACTTCGCATATACCTCGTTGATCTTCGAGAATTGGGCCATGTCTTTGATGAACACGGTCACTTTGATCACCGATTGGATCGATCCACCGGCTTGTTCTAACACTTTGGATAGGTTTTTAAGACATTGTTCCTTTGATCCCATCCATCAATACCATATCATTTGTGTGTTTCAAAAAAAAGGAGGATATTAAACGTCAAGTCGCTCGTTTTTTTTATCACAGGAAGAGAGAGAGAAAAAAAAAATGGAGATAGATGAATATATTTACTGACAGTTTGTAGCTCAACATCGGTCGGATGAATGACCTTCATAGTACTAGGATCCAAGGGGATCGAGCCACTGGAGTAAATGAGTCCATTAGAGGTCACCACGGCCTGGGCTTAAAATCACAAGATAATAATATTAACGACCGAAAATTTGAACAAGAAAGAAGAAGGAGAAGGAGAATGTAGACTGAACAATAAGGGCCTATAGCTTCGGGAGCGCCGGGGGTACCATTGATAGTGTTCAACGAGATTGGAGCCGACATGGTATTCGAAAGAGGCCTGGTGTTAGTCAGAGATCGGTATGGTGTCCTGGAGGGGTAAGTCGGCTTGTCGAAGATGCTTGCTGGTAGTCCTGGTCGGCCTATAACTAGGGCTTGGTATCGTCGGAGTGGGGCGTTCAGGTTCTGGAATACTGCTCGTCTCAATGCTGATAGTCCTGGGTTGCTCTTGACCATCCCGCTTCGAGTGGAATGTTCCCTCTCCGGAATCGGAGATGTTCTTCTTGACTTCCTCTAACTGTGAACCGTAACTGTAACTTAACCTAACCCTGACTTGGCCTATAACCTTGACCCTACCATATTATGTAACCTGACTCCAGAGATAAATACATATTGACCTTTATCTCGATGCGCTGGTTTTAACTAACGGCTATCGAACACATCCCAATCGAATTGTGACCACAAAATTTAATTTGATCTTTTGACTTCACTCGAATCTGATGGGGTTAGGTGAGCATCTCAGAGACAACAAAAAGGCTTATATCTTTCAAAGCATGCATTTGCTTCTATGTTTGTCACGTGAAGGCTGTTAAGTATTATTCTGTTATTTTTTTGTGGAATGAATTGATAATATAGAGATGACAAGATACTGAGCAGGGGAGGAACATGAGGGGTCGCATATTGTAGATACATACAAGTAAAAAAAGTAAAAAGAAAGAAGAAGATGATCACTTCAAGAACCGATCCAAGCCTTTAACGACCCGCTCGACTCTCCTACAAGTCAAGCTAATTCTGCGGCCCCGGGGCAGAGATTGATGGACGAGTTGATGGGCGAAGTGAGCGAAGGAGTCGTTCCAATTAAGACAGCGTTCGAGGTGAGTGGAGAGGAGGTCAGCTGGCCGGGCGGGGATGGAGTGGAGTAGATGGGAGTAGCAGGCTTGGCTGATGATGATCAAGGAGCGGCGGGGGACGAAGAGCGAGAAAAGCGGCTCCGGGGCGATCGCTCGTCCCTCCTCCTTCTCCATCGTCATCGTCGGCGACGGCTCGCCTTGAGCCTCCTCCTCTTTTCCTCGCACTCCATCGGCCTCAGAGTTCGAACACCGGCCCGTCCCATCTAGTTGCGCTTTGGTGAGCTGCTCCGAAAGAGCCTCGAATCGATCCGCGTAACAATGGAACTCGTAGACCGTGTCAGAATCTAAGGAGATTGTGGCCACCGTCGGTAAATATGCAGGCCCACTATTCGAAACAGATGAGCACCAATCAATATGCATAAATATGTACCCAATGGACTCGCGGGTGGCGGTCGACTTACTCGAGATGAGGCAGGATTCCATCTCCCGGGTTGTATTCATTGACGAGACAATGGTTCGGCGGGAGATGATCAGAGCTGGTCGATGGAGGTTCTTCGGGACCCGCAGATGAAGAAGGCCGGCTCGAAAAGATCTCCAATTCTTCGAGTCGTTTGAAGACCTGTGGCCATTCATTGGTCATGAAACCCGGCGGACTTTGTGGGACCAATTTGCCCTTCGGAGTCATCGTCCCTCCCCAATACATCGACCTATTTTCATCCCGCAAAGAAAGACGTGATTCTCATAAATAAATAAATAAATAAAATGGTTCGGAAAAAAATTAAGAAGGGAGAAGAAGTGTATAAGAAAGTGTGGACCGACTGACCTCCGTCCATTGACTCGTTGCCATCCACCGGCTCGGACAGCGATGGAAAGGTCAGGCCTGATGACCGCATTCGAGTTGCCCACCTGGTCGACCTATGTACACATAACGACACTTGATCAATAATAGTCCATCCTCCCTCGATCAGTCGATCGCGTAGACCCATGCAACCATGATTGGTGTTGTGTTATATGGGACTCACCCTTCGACTTAGATAGCTCTCCTCCTCTGGGTTGATGAAGTCTCGGATCAGATAGATCGATGGGATCGGGCTCGCGATTCGATGGTCTTCTAGATCGATCTTCGTCATCCTTTGCACTTTTCAACTGGTTTGTTTGTTGGTGTGCTTCCCCTCGGCCTTGGCTGTAGCCTGTAGGCAGGCGCATATATTCATACATCCTCAACAACTCAACACCTTTTTTACAGCAACAAACACTGGGGCAATTCTGTTTCAATCCTTTATCTTCATTTTGTTTTGTGTGTACATAATACTATGAAGTCGGATCTTATCTCACGATCCAGTGGATCCACATACAGCTGTTGTGCAAATGATTGCGCTGATTTCTGAACTTTTTTTTTTTTTTTTCTCGCGCGCGACTTTTTTTTTGCCCCGATCCTCGAAGCCCGGCCCCGCCTGTGCAAAGTACCGCGGAGCACACACCGGGTGAGACCACCCGATTTCACCCGATCAGCCGAAGTTATACATTTTTTTTTTCGGGCTGAGTCGGTCATGATAATCGGTGGGTACATATCTATCCAAGAATCACCCATGAAGGAACGGAAGGGGAGGAAGAGAAGCCAAAGCTGCGCAAAGTTATCTGCCACACTTGTCCATTCTGATGATCGCGACGGTGAACAAGCCCACGAGATATTCCTTGAAGCAGACGAGGATCTATGATCAGTTACACAATGTTTTTGTTTCTCTCTGGGTCTATGATGGATCGAAAGATTTACGATCGGGATCTCGTCGTTGGTGACGATGGTATAAGTGGTGGTGTGTGGATTCTTGCTGTGCCAGGACATTGCTATCCATTGGTGTCCCCAAGTTCGGGCTACGAGAAAACCCCAGATTGGTGGATTTTTTTGAGGGTCAGTACTTTATAGCCCAATCGTTATTATTAAGAAGGTAAGATTTTAAAAGAGCCACAGACTAAACAAAGTTTTCTAGACAAATTTGATCAGGGGAAGAAGCTGGAGGGGAAGGAAGGAAGGAAAGAGTTGATGAACGGACCATGAAAATGGGCGACGTGTCGGCCCTGTTGGTCTTTGATAGGGCCCGCCAACCCCATCGGATTCCGTTTCCATTCGTAATCCTCGGCCAAGATCGGGCCTCTTTTGATCGTCCAGCGGTCAGTCAACCAGCCTCGCGGATCGATGTCATAGTCTATCCCGTCTGATGTTCGATAGGTCTGCTTATATCCACACCATTCAAGCTCTTTCTGTTTTTTTTTGGCAAGAAAGGGGAGGTTTTGAATAAATTGTAGATAGAAATCGGCCTCAGTTCTTCATGACGACGCGGTTGTGGATATATAAGTGACTCACATTGATAGTAGGTTCGAGCTATCACATACATAAACAGGTAATGGAACAAACCCGGGTTTTTATATATCAGTATCCCTTCGATTTTTCCCACATACAAGTACATAAAAAATAAAATAAAAGATAAAATAAGCAAACCTCCAGACCGATAGAGAATTCGCGTTTTTGGGGACCAGAGACGAGGATCCTAAAGGCTTGAAGATTCTGGGGATCGTTGAAGAGGGAGCGGACTTGCAACTGGTCGGGGCCGCCGATTTCGCGGACCAAGAAGTCCTGTTTGAGCCAGGAGATTTGGCGCTCGAAGCTGAACGTTCTACTAGTAGTGCTTGAGTTTGTCCGACAGGAGGCGTCCAGGATCTCCACACTTGATGCTCCGCCAGTCACTATGGTCATCATGAGGACTAGAAGAACACATGTGGTCATTGGGATCACACGTTGATCAGTTGGTCTTCGCAACCTCCTTCGATCTTCTGTTATGTTATCCATTTTGTCTTGCACGTTTTTTGCGGCACAACGTTGGAATAGAGATAAGATCAAAATCAATCAACTCGAAGCGACGCTTGGAGTTTTCTGGCAATAACAATTAGAAGGAAGAGGGACATGTTCAGCTAGCAGCCCTTGCCCAATATACGAATTCTATTCCTGAAACGAATGTCTGCGGAGAGATGTGGATAGGATTATGAGTCTGTTCGAAGGCTGTCCAGATCTGCTCAGAGTTTACTCGTCGGCCCCACTTAAGAGGGAGAGGGAAAGCGCAATAAGCCTTGTTATGTCCTGCCCCTGGTGCGCCCCCGACGAGACTCGTATTATGGACTCTGAAACTGCTGGAAAAACTCTCTTAAGATGATTAACTCTTGTCATCTTCATGAGACCCACTTGTTTCGGGGGGGCCTTTTTTTGGCTCTTAATGCTGTTGTTGTATCGAGGATTGCGGTTTTATTTGAAACATCGATCATGTTTGAAGACGGAATCATCCATGATGAGCGAAGATTAGAATGACGGAACATTGAAGAGAACTGCAGCAAGAAAATTCCCTCGAAATAAATAGTGGCAGTGTGAACTGATAACAAAAGCGCGGGATTGCTCAAATGATCTTACTTGAGTACATTGTATCAAACGGGCCTTGCGCCAACATTGAAAGAACGACAAAATCACACCGACGAATTTGCATACAATTTCTTCTATGTAAATTAAGTTGCATCATCATAACTAATCTCTTCAATTAGGACAAACTCAAGAGCGTTGGTCGGATAGACGTCTTCTATACACTCTACGTAAATAATCTATATCAACACAGCGAAGAAACGGCAACCCTCATGCCAACTTGTATGTATGTATGTTTGTATGTTTGTGTTGCTATGGAAATTTCTCACTGATCTAGGAATTTCTTACTGAATATGTAACATAATCCTTATTCTAAACAAGGATGTTCAATGTTGTATTTTCTGGTTGGTTATCTATAAGAGGGATACATTAAGCACACCCATAAGAAGGGTAAAAAGAGAGAAGGGGATGATTAGGCGGAGACTTTCGGTTTCTTTTCAGCCCGACCGATTTCAGGCACCGAGTTAGAGGAAGGAGCGGGATGAGCCGCGCCATTAGAGGCGACGATATTGCCTTCAGCGTCGCGCTTGTTTCCCGCGACGGTGGGCGAGGTGTTTTCGGGGGCGGCCGGATCGGCATGGCCGTTGGCCTCTTTCTCGGCGTTTCGATCGCCACCGCGTCGTCCTCCTCGACCCCCGTCCCGTCCCCCTCGCCCGCCATCTCGTCCCCCTCTACCTCCTCCTCCTCCTCCGCGTCCCCCTCGGCCTCCACGCCCCCCTCGCTCTCCTCCCTTCCGATGCCCGTGTTGGTGGTCGTCTTTCGACCCAAAGGCTGCCTTCGCCTTGAGCGCTGCACAATCTATATGGAATTGCTTGTTCTGTTCATCTGGAGATCATCAAATCGAGTCAAGTCAAATCAGACCAGATCAGTCTATCGGCATAAAAAGCTACCAAATTTGAAAAGAACACATTTCTTCTTGAGACAGCAATCGAGTCACGTACCATTGAGACGCGTGAACTTGACTGCACGACCTCCAGAGCGAACGGCTTTGGCTTGGATTGCCGCAAACTGTTCGTCGCTGATCGGCTGATCAAACCCGACGGTTCCTTTAGCTTTGTCTTTTGAGTCGACATGGACTACGTTACAGACCAGATCTCCCTCGGTGAGATCTTGCTAAATAGATGAGAAAAAACAGGATTGGTCGTCCAATCATAACCCCTCTCAAAAACAAAAAGATGGAGAAGACTTACTTTAAGAGCGCGGAACTCGACTCGGGCTTCCTTGAAGTTTGTGGGTGCTTCGCCTTCTAGCTCAAAAGCGAGCGCCATGTTGGACCGAAAACTCTTCAACTCTTCCGTGTTCTTCAAACTTCCATCTTTGTGGACTTCTAGTTTGTTTCCTTCATATTCGATGATTCTTGCGGCAACCTCCTTATTATTTTTGGTGTTGTTGGAGGAGGAGGAGAGAAACGGTCCGCCAACATACTGTTTAAGACCGTTTGCGACCGCTTTGAGTTCCTTGAATGCATTGAATGTCGAGTTGTTTCCGCCGATCAATCCTGAGTTGCCCGTGGTAGGTTTGGTGGACGCCGGTTGTCCCGCTTGTCGGTTCCCCGACATCTTCGGCGGTGGTAGCCCTTTTTCCTCCGCCTTCATCGTCACATAATCAATCCTGTAAACCAGAAAGATTAAGGATCAGTCAGCTCAATTGGTGATTCAAGAAGGAGGAGGAGGGGAGACTTACTTGAACATAATCGAAGTGAGTTCGTGTCCCTCGAACTGTGGTTTCCCACTTTCTTGCTTGAATTCGCGCACGAGTTGTTCTGCAGAATTAGGGTCAACATATTCGACGAAAACCGAGTTCTTCCACTTTTTCGGACCTTTCTTCTCAGATTCCTTTGAGCTTCCTTTAGGAGAATCGTTTTCTCGTCTCATTCGTAAGACCGCAACTGGGCCCCATTTCTTGGCCCATCGTTCTAGTTTGACTTGCATATTACTAGGTTCTCCCTTGGCTGATAGGTCGTCTTCACTCAAGAAACCTTTGGCATATACACATCGATCACTAGCTCCCGCCCGACTAGTTTCTTCCAACTTCAACAATCTTCGGACGTAAATCGTCGATTTTCCTTCCAGTTCTTCGGTGATCACGTCGACTAACTTCGGACTGGTAGGTGAGGTTTGGATGATTTTGGCCAATTTGCTCGTCGGGAATTTCGAGGAATAGGCCCGCATCCGTTTGAAGGAGGCCACCGTTTGGAGGAGCACTGGCGAACATCCTGGGCCATACGTTTCTGCCTTTTGTTTGGCTTCGGCCGACAGATTGGGGGCTTTCACGGAATCTAGATGCGGACTGGTTTGGAGGAACATGAACTTGTCAAATGGCAGATTGGCATCGGAAAAATAAAATTCAACTGGAACAATCAATCAGACGATGATCAGCTGTTGCAACCAATATTTTTTTTGAGAGGATATGCATTCCAAAAGCGTGTGATGATACTGACTTTGTCGGATTATCTCAAGCCTATCCTCTTCACTGACGCCCTCGATAGTCTGGCTGGATGGTTCAGGCTCGGCTTCCTTGATGGTAGGATCGGCGTTTTCGGATGGGTTGACTTGTTCTACTATTTTGGGATTGGTGTCGATGGGCAGTTCAGACTGGACAAGTTTGCCGGCGAGAGGGTCAACTGGAAGTTCGGTAGTCACGGTCATGATAATGAGGTCTGCGTTTGAATGTGTTTTTGTTTACAGTAGTATGCTATTAAGAGTGAAGTAGGAGATATTTGTCCTGTTACTGAGAATATGTAGATGGCTTGAGTAATATACCCAGGTTATTAATTTTTTGTTGTTGTGGTTGGCAATCTGAAACTGGCGGATGGTCCGATATTCCGGAGATTGGGCGTGTCCTACAAATATTTATGTAGTCTGGTTCTGGCTTATCAATAATTTCTTGGGTTTGGGGTTTCGATGGTTAGGGTTCGAGTGGGCGCGGGTGGTCAGGCGAGGAAGCGAGATGCATATCCAACCTGCACATTTAGAGCGCACATCTTGAGACAAAAGGTCATCTGACTATCGATCCATTCAAAACCTCACAGCATCATCATCTGTCTAAATGTATTTTCATATTGCTGGATTGCAATTTTTATCAACTTGGCCATATACACAAGACATCTTGCAGTGGCCCTACAGTGTGAACCAGACAACAGAGTACAAGCAGAAATTTAGGTTTAAGAGAGATAAGATAGAGATTGGAGAAACTCTGAAGGCCACTTGATAAATGTTTATGGTCATGAAACAAAATGGTCACCAGGTACAATTTTGAAGGGAGGATGCATGAACCCATGATTGCATTCATTCAATTATGTATCATCACATCACCTGAATGCTGGAAATAAACTTCCAAGACAATCTGCGCAGCAAATTACAGAGTTTAGGAAAAAAAAATTAAGGTTCAACACAATTGGAAATTGGAGCAGCTATGAAAGGTGTGTTGTGTGAAATGTTGATGGGGGTGAAACAAAATGAGATCATAAGGAAAATAGTTGAGCAGACAGGTGAATTGATTTTCATCTCCTGCATTCATTCAATTCTATATCTTCACATTGCTTGAATAGTATGATCCTCCTCTAATTTTTCAAGTTGTGAGAGGAAATGGAAAGAAATGTATTGGTGTTCACAATTGCATACTTAAAGTTTCACTAAACAACTTAAGCTGTGATTATGGCTGAGACATGTCAGTTTGACTTTTTTCATATAATTTCAAGTATGCTGTTTTCATACTAAAACTGCATACAGAATTTTGAAAATCATAAAACAAACAGAAACAAACTAACAGACAGAAATTTATGTCTTCATCAATACAAATTTCAATCAATCTTTGACCCAGTTTTTGCATAAATCCTACTGTTCTTTCATATATGACACAATTTAAGCTGATCCAAAATCACAAAATTGACTGAATATGAAATTATGTAGATTGATTTAGTCCTTTTGTAGGAATCTCTTCTGTGAGTACCATTTATAGGAAGTAGACTGGCAGTCTCTAGGCGCTACTTCAGTAGATTCAAACTTCTCAGCACCGATGTTTGAGCAGACAGGTGGATTGATTTTCATATTATACTGCTTTCATTCAATTTGTCAAATTCTTCAACATTCACAGTTTCAGTATAACTTAACTTTGGATATAATTTTCATCATCTCTTGCAAATCAAACCAAAATGAAATATTGAAACAGTCCAAGTCATTTGACTTGGCAATTTTGATTTCAAAATAAAAGGATTTCTGAAACTTTTACAATTGTTACTGAGTTGAGCTACAGACAAAAGTCCAACACTTGAAATAAAAATCCATATTGCTTGTTTTTAGGCCTTGATCAAAATGGTTTTGATAGGTCCAGCATTCAAGATAAATAGTTTTTAATAAAGATTGAAGATGAAGACAGCTAATAATTCAGCCATACTTACAATTTTTTGGGGGGGTTTCAAAGCAGCTTCATGAAAAGGAGTGAAATGATACATGCTTATATATTGAAGAATTCAACCACTAGAAATCTGGAGGATTATTATCATCAAACAATTTCTTTATTGACCTTAAGTTTATTACCCTTCTTTTTAGACTTGTTTTTAGACTTTGTAGGAGGAGAGGAAGTGGCTTCGGTTAGATCAGGTGATTTCTGTTCGATTTTTTGAGCCTCAGCGCCAGTAAGATCGGGTTTGGCCTGTCCAGCATTAGTTTTTGCAGCCTCAGGTTGAGTTTTTGATTCAGGGCCAGGTTGGGTTTTTGTGTCTCCGCCGCTAGTCGTTTGTGCTAGCTCTGGTGGTGTCGTGGTATTCCCATTATTAGTTCCCGTCTGCAATTCTGCTGCGGCAGCGTTTGCGGTTTTCGCGGTAGAATCAGCCTTGGGGTTTATTGCGATTGCGCCGTCAGTTGACTCAAATTTGATCGGCTCGGTGGCGGCTTCTGAGGTCTTGGCTGCTTGTGGATCTGTCGCAGCTTTGAGATTTCCTGTGGCCTCAGTGGTTGCCTTCTTCTGTTCCAATTCTAGGCCAGATGTTTTGCTTTTATTCTCCGTCTTGTTTTGGGATCCCGGGTCCAAGTTGATCGTGGGGATAGTATCTCCAGTCGATGATTTTTCCGCCAGAGCTGCGCCGCCCGTCGCACTGGTTGCCTTGGCCAAACTGGCGCTGCTAGCATCTTTTTTCTCCTCACTTCCCGTGTTCTTTGAAGCGCTCAGATCCTGAAGACTCTTTGAAAGCGACCCGCTTCCTTTTTGAAGCGCATCACTCCCGGGGACAGCCGTCTTGTTTTCTAAGGCTGTCTTTTGGGTATCCCCTTCAGTTTTCTTCTGAGGATCTTTCTCCAAGGTTTTGGACTTGCTTTTATCATCGCCAACATTACTTGTACCCAGTTTGGATTCGGTCGAATTTTTGGTAGCCTCGACTTGACCTAAAGCAGCTGAAGTTTGTTTTCCTGGGCGATCTCCGTCATCCGACTTGATCGATTTTTCCGCCAGATTTGTGCCACTGGTGGCAGTTTGAGACAACTTTTCAGGTTTCGGCGCGACCACCGCGGAGCCAGGTTTGGTCAAATCGACGCCAGCATCTGTTTTGACCTCTTTAGTCGCGTTGTTTGGAGCACTCGAATCCTGCAGACTTGTTAGTGCTGTTGCTTTTGTAAGCGATCCACTTCCTTTATTAAGAGCATCACTTCCCGCGACAGCCGCTTTATTTTCTACCGCTGTCTTTTGGGTACCACCCTCAGTTTTATTCTGAGAATCCTGCACCAAGCTTGTAGCCGAGGCTTTCTCATTGGCTACATTGCTTGTACCGAGTTTGATTTCAGTCGTTTTTTTGGTGGGATCTTCAGTTGGAGCAGCTGAAGTTTGGTTTGCTGGGCGGGCTCCGTCATCCGATTTGTCATTAATAGCAAGCTTCAAAGCCTTAGAAGCCTCCACATTGTTCGTTCTTCTTTGGAATCTCAACGCGCGAGGAGCCAGCCTACACAAAAAGGGATCCTGATTAGCACTGGACACACTTTCATGTGGCTTGACATAATGGGCATTTTTTAATTTCTCACCTCGTTGTTTCAGAATCTAAACCTAAAGCTTGAGTGCCCTGAAGAACAAAGGCTAGAAGGACCAGCCTGGTGAAGTGGTTGAAAGTCATCTCTCGAGAAATTTATTGTGACTGGTACCGCTGCGTAATGAGAAGTCGGAGGACTGAATATAAAATAGATAATTTAAACTGGAATTTGGTAGGAAGATTCAGAAAGTTTTCGGACCAGAAAACAAGCAATAATAGAATTAAATAACTGCAAAATAAGTGTGGCTCTCTTGGAGCGCGGTGAAGGCTAAATGATCCTCTTTTTTGATGAGCAAACGGCTTGATCATTATAAATCTGGCTCATTCCCCCCTCTATTTATACCTTCGTTGGGGATGCAGCATGGCTTATCTTCAGTCTGCAGGTCGCGCAGGAATCTGCCGACCTACTCGGTCGCTAGGTTCGACTGGCCAAGTGAAGCTCAACCTTTGATGGTTCACCTGGCCACATGTGCGCTATGATGTCGCTTTTCACGACATCAAGAGTGCCCATCATTTTAATTTTGTTGACCGCTTCCTTCTGGGTCTCTAGGCTTCGAAGTGCTTATGTTTTTTTGCATTACCTCTCTGGTCAAAGGGATGACATCACTGAAATAGTTAATAAAATATAGAGAGATGAGGCCGAAACACTTCTTGAGATTAACATCGCAAGTTTTCGGATGGCAACGCCCGCGTCTGGTGTGGTCCCTAAATTTTGGTACCCCCGTTCACCTCAATGAACGCTCATGTTGCCATGGCATGAAAATTCCCGCCTCAATTATAAACTCCAACTATTTCTCGCCAATGATAAGGCAAGTTTATTACACATAGATCAACGGCGCGAATGACATGTGGGTGAGGCAAGGGCTTAATGAGGAAGAGGCAATTCAGCTGGTACACTATGGCATACTCAGTCAGACTTTGTTAGTTTTTAATTTGACGTTCGATGCTACGAATGAAGCTTCTCAACAATGGTCCATCTCCACTGAATCAACAAATATTTACCTCGTATGACGTAGGGATCGCTATGCTGTCTTCATCATTGATGTCAATGATGGCAAAGCGATAATGGAGCGTTGTCATTGTTTATCAAAAAATCAACAATCATGATACCTGTATAAAACATTTTGGAGGAATGTCATCATCATCAAAATCGATGATATCATTGCCATAAATTTTGCAGAAAGGTGGCGGTTACCAAGACTATAGAGCACAATTTTCATAGGAGTGGTTTTTGCACAAAAGAGCTATCATATAGCAAATCGAGCAACGAGGCGGAATTCGAGTGAGGGAAAATTCATACCATTCAACAAGCTTGATGACACCAATAGAATAGGGGCTGGACATGTCATCGTTTCTTGCGATCCACTCATTTGATGGATTTTGATAGAACCAGGTGGCGCTTGGATGTATGCTCATTACCGCTTATCCAGTTAATTGGTCAGACTCAAATCTTGCTCAACCATCTCTAGATTCGTCTACAGAACCTTGCAGTGAGTTTTATATAAAAAAAATGGACAACGAAGTGGGACCATTGCTTCTAATTTGGTAAGGCTATCATGATATGATCTATGATTTGCCAGCAGATTATTGTGCCTGAAGGATTCAAGTCAAGATGGCAATGCCGGCTATGTGTAACAAATTTCCATTCCTTAAAACAGCCTGATTGTTGTATATCTTGGTTTCACCCGCACCGATGTGAATTTCGCCGAACTTGACACAAGTCTCCAGCTGCGGCGGGCGCATCTGGCAGCGTAGCGCTAACCAGGCGGTTCCCGAAGGGAACTCCCCGCAGGGGAGACTTGGGCCAGAGGTCAATGAACTCAGGTGCTGAGTTTCTAGTGTTTTGGTGGGAGCGTCACAAGATTTAGAATCACGACGCTCCCTCAAGACTTTGAGAATGTTTGAGAAAATTTTCTTGAAGTGCTGGATGATCTTGTCAATCTATCCAAAAATTAAATTTCAAAACCAGGACAGCCCCTTGTAATTTTATGATGATTTTTTAAAATCATGGTTTGAACTTTTTTTAAGCTCAAACGCGGGGTTCGCTCAACTCGAACACACCAAAAGATGTCAACTTGAATAGAAAAGTTGTCCTTTTCAACAGCTTCTGCAAAAAAAATGACAATTTAAAAGAAAAAAGTGAGCAGTGAGAAGTATATGGAAGAAGCAGGCCCTCCCAGGCCCAGAAGGAAATCTGATAAGTATGAATGAGGAAGGGCCTAGATGGGAAAGTACACAAAAATCCTGGATTTTAGCCCAAATCCAAAATCTCAGCACGCGGGGATTGTTGCATTTGTCGTAGGCCTCCACTGGCGTGGACAGCTCCGCTGCTCGCTAACGCTCCCGCCGTGGAGACCTAGTTAAGCTCGGAATTTCGCTCGGATCCTGTGGAGTTTTTATCGGGTAATCAAGACTCGTCCAGTCACTCTTATTCATCTTTCAGAATAAGAGATGAAGATGTTTTGTTGCAATCTGAAGTTGATGGGGTCAAAGGTCTAATGTTCATTCAATCTCAACACCCTCATCGCACCAAACCATCAAAGGCTACTTTTGTGAGTAAGAGCATCCGCATCAGTCGTCAACTTAGTGCGGATTAAGGCACTTAATCCGACTGCGCAACCGCATCAGGTCAGATTAAGACAGGATCAAAAAGATCCAGATCTCCATTTGGAGCTAGTCGGGTCTAAATTTAGCACCCGGTAATCCTCAGACTAAAGTCAAGTTGAATATTCATCATCACCAGGATTAAGGAGGATCAAAGTAGATGATATCCACGCCATCAACTCCATCGACACCATTGACACCATCGACACCATCGACACCATTGACTCCATCGACTCCATCGACTCCATTGACTCCATCGACTCCATCAACTCCATCAACACAATCGACTCAAAAGCGGACTCTCCCAATCGATCAGAGGGGACCTCACAACATCAATCGGGTGAACACTCTGGAATGTGTCGATGCGATCAGCTGGACCCTCTCATGATTGGCCAATCCTGGTCAACATGAATCCTCCGACTCAAACCTGACCGAACTGTACTCAGATCACCTGGCGCGAATCAATCCAGTGTTGTTGTAATTGTTTATATCTTTCCAATTCACCTCTTTTCACAATCTCATAACTCTCACAAATATACATAGAGATACATTTTTCTAGCTTGTTTGAACCAAGAAAAGAAGCCTCGATTTGTCTCCGCTTGTTTCTCTCTCATCTCAAAAATTTATTACTTAATGATAGTAAGAAATGAATTGTGTTTTATTTTTATATGCATAAGGTTGCAGAAAAACATCAATTGGAGCCTTATTGAAGAAAAAAAAATGATCGGAGAAATCTGATTCTTCGGATCAGGTTGTCAGCTTGTATGGCTGGGGATTTCATCTCGATCGATCAAATGAGTTGCTTGCGATCAAATGAGTTGGTTGCAATGAGATAAGGCGTTCGGTTAAAGACCTTTTGTGCATTGTGATGATGGGTAGGTGGATAGCCGGACCTGGAGCTGATGGCAGTTAAGCCGATGTGGATGCCAGAGTTAGGCTAGACTAAAGGCCTTAAGCCAGGAGTTTAATCCGGACTAATGCGGTTGACAGTGTGGATTAGCCCTAATCCGGATTAAAGTCATCGGTTTAACCTAGTCTAATCCTAGGAACCGATGCGGATGCTCTAACTTTTGGGGAAGTGATATGTATACCCGCAACAACTTCATAGTGATGGGCATCTCAAATCAAAAATCAAGAGATGAGCGATCGACTTTGCTTGACATTTGAGAGAACTTGGATGGAAACTGAAAGGAAGCGATTGCAGCATGATTCCCTCCAAGGCTCCAAGGAGTGAAACACACATTAAGCTTTCTGGTGGCACTGGCTACGAAACCGGCCAAATGACTCTCACTTATTTTTTTTACCTGCATACAGATTTGATCAAATTAATATATATGAAACCTATGGCTTCCTTCAACCGGTACATATTCAAAAAATTTGACATCTGAGAAGGATGGTTTTTTCTTATAAACTATTAAACAGGAGGTAGGAACCCAAGAGAAGCGAGAAAAGGGACATAAGAAGTGATATGAATGAGGGTTTCTTTTGTTTTTCCTTCATCTATTTTTTTTTCTTGGTTCTATAGCCCGAATGTACTGATATCCCACCGATTTTCGAGCAGGGTAGATTGACGACAAAGGTCCCATATAAACGCAAATCAATGATGCACTTGTCGATAGAGGGATCTCCGATCGGACAAACTTTAAGCTTCAGCTTCTTCCTCTTCCTCTTCTTCCTCGCCACTCTCTTCCTCGTCGTCCATTTCCATCGTCTCGTCTCCAAGAACGACGTCTTCATCTTCGTCACTGGATCGACCATCAATCAGTCACATAACAGTAATAATAACAGTTCCTGATCGTTCTGAGATGGCTTACTCATCCTCATCAGCCTCGGCCTCATTGGCTTTGCTGAAATCGATCTTCTTTCCACGCGTACGCGAGCCCGAGATGATATTACTGGGGTCAATTTCGGCGAAGTCATCTGAGATCAATCGTGCAAGGGTCGAATGGCGCGTAGCAGTTAGTTCACAATAATCTGATCGGAAAGCCGATTCGGATGGGAGGAAAACCGATGTCTCCTGGGGGCTTACCATCGTCGTCATTACCATCATCTTCTACGTCCATCGAGCCTCCAGCTGTCGGATCAGTCGCGGGTTTGCTCCTAATAGATGGGGTATAATGGATTAGTCGTTTGAAGGAGGAAAGTAGCAATAACCAAACAACAAAACAAGATGAAGGTCTGGGAGAAGTGATGAAGCACCCACTTTTTGCTGTCGGGGGTAGGGGCGGCAGGGGCTTCACCGGCGCGTTTCAAAGGATTGGTGGATGCTTGAGCGTCGGACATTGTCGATGTGTTTTGAGGGTGAAGAGATGATCGAGATAGAATTTGAGTAGTCAGTCTGGTGATCGCGTGGAGGTGGGGAACAAACAATCAGCAGGTGAACAGCAGGTCTTGAAGACGATGATGTATGCAGTCAAGTGTCGCTGGTCAAGGCGGAGGGAGGCTGACAAAGTAAAATTAAGGCGCGAAGTCTCAAAGGGGTTTTGAGTCATTCTTAAGCCCCCTGTTTCAGAGATCGGCAGGCGGCGCATGGCCTCCGATGGAGGGGCTACATAATTGTCAGGTACATTGATATAGCATTCCTCTGCATCCCTTTTCTCATTTCCGAGCCAGTTTTACGTATGTACTTGACATGATTTCTTGCCTTTCTTCTTTGTTTTTGTTTTTGCAGTGCTCAGTGATTTTCAAACAGGAAAAAACCAATTGAAATATCTGGGGAAACAGCTCAATGATACGATCAAGGAAGTGAAGAGTGCCTTCATGATGACCATATCCATTGAATTGAATAATCTCAGATAAAACAAAGAACATTGAAATTTAAAAAAATATTAAAAACCAGATTAAATTGCCAAAATATTCAAAAGAATTCTGACCAAGGATCATGTGAGGGTGGGTATACTATAAGTTATGAGGAGAAAAATCAGATTTGATTTTTGAGCTTATAATTCTCAATGACAAAAAAAAAACCTCAAATGATCAAGTCCAAGAAGAAAACCTATTATTAGGAGGGAAAACCCGAGACATTTCGGCTTTGAAGTATTGCTTCACATGCCGATAAGCTTCGATGATAGCAATCATTTTATCCAATCTAAAGGTACCCAATTCATCCCCTCTGATTAGAATGTGGCTTTTTGCTTCTACTTCTGATTCTTGCTTAAATAATACAGTGGATTCTTGTTCCCAATCTTGTTTAGAAAGAAGATTGTCTTGAAGGAGAATCTCTAAGGGTGCAACTTCCTCCAAAGAATTAGTCTGACTTGGGATATAACTGTGCTTGAAGTTGGATGGAAAATCTGGGACGTCCGGAGAACTGAGGCTCATTAGAACAGGAGTTGATCCTGCGTGGCTTCGACGGTCATTGCGAATGGCGTCTACCTTTTGGGAAGCAATGGCGCTTCCATCGGTAAGTTGGTGGTGGCCTTGGAGATCTCTGTCATGATGGCTTGCTGATCTTCCACGGGCACTATAGCGTTCCTCGTCCCCGTCGTCAATCGGCCCAACAGATTCAAGCTTTTCATGTTCCAACTTCCATGAACAGGCAAATATATAATTCAGCTCCCCGGTCTATCATCTAGACTCCATTTTTTGATAACGAGAGAACCCACAGAATGTCGAGATGAAAAGCCCAATCCTTCAGACACCGGAGGGAACAGAGGGGCTCGGATATTCAAATCAGAGTTCTTCAGAGATTGATTCAATTTGCTAGTTTCATCTTGAATTGGGAAACAAATTGTGCCATCACCCTTAATTATTGGAATGCCCTGAGCTCCTAAAATAATTTCAACAAACTGTTCATAATCGGTTAGCTCAAAGCTGTTGTATTTTAGAATTACCATGGAGCAAAGTACCACTTAACAATAAGGAATGATAACAAGGAAAACATTCTAACAAAAATCAGGTTATTGTCCTGATTAACAGGATTAGGAAGGGTGGATTTCAGTCTAGTAAGTTGATTTTATCTTTGATGAGCTGATGAATAAGTAGGTGTTTATTTGAGAACTGAGTGAAAAAGTCAATCATACCAAAATTCAGGTCTTCAGAATGTTGATTTTAGGTTTGTTTTCAGAGGATTATATGTAGAAAGAATTTGTGGGATGATCAACCAGATCAAGCCAGGGTTCCCTTGTATTTTTGGTTTGGGTTTAAGTTTTTTATAGGAAACCCAGTTCAATATGGTTGAATTGGCCTCAATGAGACTGCCAATGAAAAAGCATATCATCTACCTCATGGCCATGGTATCACAATATGATCAAGCCTTGGTCTGACCAGGTTTCAATTTAAAGCTACTTTGGTGGTGGTCACATGGTGGTAAGATTCAGGATTCAAATTTCCAAACCATGTCCATCCAGTAAGATCATGTCCATAAACTTTTATATCCTGCATAGGGTTCGAAAATATTCTAAACTTGTGATAAGAAGTATAAATCTGTGCTTCTGTTTTACAATGGCATACTGTTTCAGATATTGTTCAAACATATCTTTTTTCTCCTTTGTTTCACATTTTCCCTGGATGTAACAATGTGAAGTACGTCAAATAACTCATCAATTCAATGGCCAATCAGTGTTGGAATTTCATTGATTTCCCTTGTGCTTGTGCTCTCTGCTCACTTGTCTCTTTGAAATTTTATATCTCAATCCATCTGTTCCACTGCCCATTAAATCCAACTCATATCGTGGTATGCTTGCTTTAAAATTTCTATTGTTTTTTCTCCTATCTAAAAGCTTGTTTTTCATTTTACAGTTCTGGTTTCATAAGTGTTGATTATAATTCCTGTTTTTCATCAATCAGTTTGGGTTTAATATACTGGTTTAATTGGTGGGCAATCTTCTGTTTGATGATGGGTTGAATGAATTGTGATGTTGTATTCAAGTAAAAATAAACACAGTAAAACTTTTTCTGAGCCATACTTGCTAAAACCCATAACCTGTCTTGACCCATAGGATTTTGGATTTAACAATTTGATTACAGCAAGGGTGAAACAGAGACAAGACAAGACAGTATCAGGTGTTTGTTTGTATTGTCTCAGAATTTGAATACCCAAAAATACCAGATTTGTGTTGTGTCACTTTCCTGAGACAATACATACGTATCTTCTTTGGAAAGTGAGACAAGTATTGTCAGCGTGCTACTATGGCAGAGACAACCTGTCATAGCAAATAAAAATAATAAATTACATAAAAAATCTAAGTATAAATTAAAAACATTACATAAGTAAAAGAAACAATATTACTTATGTAAATAAGATAAAAAATACATAAAAATAAATGAATAATTTAAAAAGTATAAACAAAACTTTAAATATTATTGCAGATTCTAAATCAGCATACAACTTAACCTAGGGTTCCTCAGCCAAAGATACTCCAAATTCTAACTCCTTCACCCTGTAATACATGCATGAATAATTAACAAGTACCCCCAGATCACGGGTACTGTGACACTTCTGCATAATGCATAATGCATATACTCCAAATCCAGTCTCAGAATTGGAGTATTGTGCATGGTTTAGAAGATAGAGCAGTGAGGAGTCCTGTCTCCAAGCCCACACGCCACGTAGTCATGCTGCGGACCAGTATCCAAGGATTGGGCCACAAAAGCCCCAGAATCCCCATTGCATGTGACAACAAAGCCCCCACACGTGTAATAAAAATATAAACAAGCTAGAATATCCACGAAAACACTACAGTGACCATATTCCAATGGGTAACACGTGTAGCAAGCCTCAGAAGACACCTCTGGAATATTCTGTGGCCCATTTCCAAGGAACCTGCTCCACTTAACAGAGTAACCCCTATCTACAGGTTCCCATGGGACATTATTGGCTGTAATAATTTTGTGCATTACCCCTTGGAGCTTCTGGAATATTATCCTCAAGGTTCCAGCCCTGGTTACATCACCATGTGGACCAAAATGGGCCCAAAAGCGCCCCCAAGTCCTACTAAGCTCCCCTGAGCAACCCCTGAGGCCTTCCACAGGTATTTAGAGGGCCCTCTGACCGCCCAAATAATGATCCCCCAGCTTTACAATACCATATAGAAACATACTTACCATTTACAAGTCCCCTACACTTGTAATTAGCCTAGTTACTACTATTATTGTTGTTATTAAAGACTCGAAATTCCCCAAGAAACTCAACAGTTATCACCCAGCACCCAAAATAAAACTTTCTGAGAGCTCCCAACTGTTCAGTTTCAACTTTGAAGATCCTCAAGACCCTACAGGATTATCACTAGTAAGTAATAACCCTTCTCTTGAGATTTTCCCCTAAAATTCTTCCTGGGATTTAAACCACACCTGTTCACAGGCCCCAGTGTTCCAGGTACCTAAATCCTCTGATTTTGCACGATACCTTAGAGGGATTAAACCACCCCTGATTTATCAGGCCATTTTTTCCTATTAAATAAGAGCATAAATTCCCTTGTTTTATTGGAATTTATTCCTTTAAAATTAAAACCAAAAATCTACAAGCTTTTTGTTTACTTTTGCACCACATGTAGCTAGAAGATTTTACCTCTTGGCATCACGTAGGCTGAAAAGTATTCTGTATTGTCTCAGATGACTGATCCCACCAAAAACTTCTTTGATAAACTGCACAAGATATTTGGCTGTATTGAAAAAAACTGAAGACAATTTTTTCATTTGTAAATACAAATCCAAGACAATGGATTTTCTCACCAACCAAGGAAATACTGATACCGGTATCAGGCTCAAAATAAAGACGATATGATCCAATACCAATACATGTCTTGTATCTGTTGCACCGTTGGTTACAGCCAAAAAACAAAGGCTTAACCCATTAAGCTTTCATGCCTTGTAACCCACAGCATTTGGTCTAACAAAACCAGACTTTAATTTGCAACTTGAACATTTCTTTGAGCTATACATCCTCAACCTTTGCAAAAATCTACTTGTTCTTCAAAAAGCTATCCATCCAACATCCAAAGATATCTAAAGCTTTTTTCATTTTATAATATTGCTTGTGTGGCTTGATGATGAAATGTGTATGTTAAGAACAGTTCACATGATGTTAGAGTTATTTTACAGTCATCATGTCACACATATTATCTCAAATACAACCAACATTTCACAGCATTTCCCCAACATTTTTCAACATGTCACAGATATTATCGCACACATCACTAACATTTTACCAAACTAAAAGATAGGGATTTCCTCATCTGTCTGCTATCAAGTAAGAACCGGATACCTTGACGGGTTGCTGTTCCTAAAGCAGGATAGTAGGTGGTATCAAATAAAGGAAATCTACTATTAGAAACTGGTCAATTTTCAAAAACAAATCTTCACCAATGGGTCCCCAAAGGGATGAAGAACCAACATTTTTTTTTTGGTTTTACAAAACCAGTCAATTATATAATGGTGGATTTGCCTGTTTTTAATACCCCCTAGTGATAAGATTCAAGAAATCAAGGATTCTTCAAGTTCACTCCTTCAAAAATACAACTGGGGACTTACTTTGCAAACCAAAAAAAATACTTTGCACACTGCACAGTGCACGCAGTCAAATATGCTTTATGCACTGCAAGTGAAATAAGCAAGTTCAGATTTTTTTTTTTTTGGAAGATTGATAAAAAGGCTCTTTATTGGCCTCTGTGATCTATTTTTGGCTGTTTTGTGAAGCTTGCTTGGAGCCAAAAAAAAAACTATAGTGTTTGGGTGCCTGGATTTCATTTTCCGCAGGCCTAAAATTCCAAACAAATTATTGAGTGATTATATGTATGAAAAGAGCTACCTCATAACCTTTTAGACACTTCTTAAAAGTTTACAGCTTTGAAAAATTGGGAACTTTCAACACCTCCCAGCACAATTTGTGGAATTGCATATGTGAAATCTCCTGATTTTTTCAAAATCGTAAACTTTCAAAAAGTGACTAAAAAGGTCTGAGGTAGCTCTTTCCATACATGTAATCACTCAATAATTTGTTTGGAATTTGAGGTTGAGGACTGCAGGAAAATGAAATCCAGGTCCCCAAATATCAAAGTTTAAAAAAAAATTAATAATTAAAATTCATTTTTATGGAAAATGGATTTTACCATTAAGTTCTACGTGTTTCAAAACCTAGGAAACAATTTTAAAAATTCAAAAAAAAAAACTTGAAAAATAAGCATTGAAAAATTAATTAAAAAACCGCGTGTGCTGCGCGCAGCAGAAACCGCGTGTAAACGCGGATTTACCACGTGTTTTTATTAATACCCTTTATTTATTTATTTTTTCACATACATGGAAGCTTCAAAAACAACCAAAAAAATCATAGAGGCCAATGAAGAGCCTTGTTATTGATCTTCCAAAAAAAAAAACTTGAAAAACTTGCTTATCTCACTTGTAGTGGGGGGTTGATAAGCGCAAGCCAACCCCCCTCGCGCACGCCAATCTGCAGCAAGGTTGATTGGCTTAGGTTGGCGTGCAGGTCCTAAACCCATATTAGTATGGGTTTAGGACCAGGTCTATCCCATAGGACCCAGGCATGGGTCCTATGGGATAGCCTATAAGTGTTTAAAAAAAATTCTGTCAATCCTTGTAGGACACCGGCGGGTGTCCTACAAGGTTGACAACTGGCCGGCGAGGTTGTACAACCTCGTCTACCAGTTTTTGAGTGAGTGGGCATTGGAAGGATCCGGAGGATGATGAGAGAGGGCGTTCGAGGAAAGGTTCAAGAGACCCAGATCGTTCTCCATCTGCGTCTTGAGCAGGTTCAGGCTCTTAGTTCGGGTCTGTTTAGTCTGTTCAGACAGGTTACTCTCGTCAATCATCTTCAAGAAGTTGGTCTTCTTGCTCGTCGACTGCGGGCAAGTCTCTGATGAGGAACCGACTGTGGCTTGTGGGACGGCAAATGATGATGATGATGGGATCGCCGGGTTTGGAGAGTCGGTCAGGGGAGTGTTTTTCCTCTGTCTGAGCGCTTCCTTGGCCCCTCTGAGCTCATCCTGAAGGTTCTCAACTCGGTTCAACATCCCAAGGGAGTGGGATTCTTCCTCGAAGACCCGGCTCTCCAAGGCCCGGATCTGACTCCAGGTGGTCAAGAGATCGATCTGGTGTTGCTGGATGATAGAGTCCACATGAGTCTGATCAACCGCCGTCTTTCTTTCCTCAAGCGTGGCCAATAACTCCACCCTCAAGCCCTCCAATTCCCGCCGGAGCTCGCTGACCATTGCCGACTGGCTTCCCGATAGCCCCCGTAGCTCGGCCTCAGCCTTGTCCTGTCAGCCTGAGTGATGCCAAGAGCTGAAACTCTTCTAGCTACACTAGGTGCAAGGATGAATTCAGAGGTGTACACGTGTGAGTGACACGTGAAAAGTGGGTATAAGTGTGGTAATAAAAGAAAAGTAAATAAAAACTGTTAAGTTTTTATTTACAGAGGGGCCTGAGTTACAGGGGTTTTTAAGGTGCCCTCTAATATCAGGTCCTGGGTTTCAGGGGTGGTACTGATGTTCTGGTCCTTTGTAATAAAGGAGTATGCCCAGAAATAGCCTACAACTGAAGAAACAAAGAAATAATACTTACTAGTACTTATCTCTTAGCCAAGGGAGTCTTCAGGAGGGGGGAACTGTTCTTGAAGCGCTCAGAAAGGTGAGTGAGAGATGTTGGAGGAGTGCTGGGGAACAGGTGTTTGGTTGGTTGATGGAAATTCAGGTTGATAACAGCAGGAACTGGGCCAAAAGGCAGGTTGAAACTGGTTGTTGGTGACGGTTTATGCTGGTAAGTAATGATGAAGATGGGGAAACAAAGTTCAGGGGGAAGAAGGGGCTCTTAAGTACCCATTCTGGGCCTCTGGAGGCGAACTCAGGAGTCTCTCTAGTTGCTACAACTCTCCTACTAAGCCTATGGGAGCTTTTGATCATCTGTAGCACCTGTAGAGCTTGGTTACAGGTGCCAAGGAGATGAGGTAATGCTTTTAACCATGTTTACAGGGTGTTCTGACGAAACTGTAACACTCCTGCAGCCTGTGTAAGCACTGCATGATGCATGGGTTGATCTTCAAGAGAGTAATTGTCCCAATTGGGCCAAAAAGGGCCACAGATCATCCCAAACAGTTTAATACTGTAGTCTGTGCTCATGTAGTTAAGGTTTCAATGATGTAAACCTTGTTTGTAGATTTTTCCCGAACTGCATGAACCTTAATTACACATTTAGCCCCCTTACAACATGTAGTATGATGTAACTGGAGGGGTCTACAGTGTATTCTGGTCCAATATCACTCAAGGACTACAAAGTAAGTGAAGGAGTAATAATTCAGGGGTACACTTGGTGAGCTACCCTGGGTTATTTTGCATGTAGATTCAGAATCTGCAATATTATTCTGAGTTATACTTAAGGTTCAGAAGTTATTAGAAGATTCTGGTTAAAAGTGTTATTTTCCATAGTTTATTTAATTATTTAAATGTTTTTCTCATGAAATATTTACAATGTAAGTGTACTGTGTAATAATATCTCTATTATAGAGTTTCAACTTATTTAAATAGTGTATTTTAATATTTTAATTGTATGTACATATGTAAGTAATAATATCTCTTAAATAAGTAAATGCTATGTTCAGGCTGGCTCTAATTAGTAGCAGGCTGACATGTCCAGCTTCCTCTGCAATTCTGCCGTCTTGGATTCGACAAGCAGCGCCTGCTGGTTCCCGGCAACACTGCCACAGATACGATACGCTGTGTGTATCATGGAGAATTCTGCAAAGCTGCATGGCCAAAAACCAAATTTGTTGAATCTCCTTGCAAATAAAAGCAGATTGGTCAGATAGTTTTTTTTTATTGGGGCTCAGATACATAGAGATACATGGGCAGATACGGGCAGATACCGTATCTGTGGCAGCGTTGTTCCCGGCCTCGGTTCGGAATTTGCGTTTGGGCCAACTTGGCCGCTTCCCAGTTCTTCTTCAAGCTCAGCCGTCCTCCGTGTTGAACGGTCAAGGGTACTCTGAATGCTCAACCTTGCAAGTCTTGAACTCTGCTCGCAGGTCT